TACTTATTAATAATTTATATTAATTAAAATATAATATACACAAATAAAAAACAAAAAATAAAATGAATAATATATATTTATTAATAATTTATATTAATTAAAATATAATATAAATAAATAAATAAAATATACACAAATAAAAAACAGAAAACAAAATGAATAATATATATTTATTAATAATTTATATTAATTAAAATATAATATAAATAAATAAATAAAACAGGAAATTAAATAAATAATATATATTAATTTAAATTTTCTTTAATTAATAATAAAATAAAAAGTAATCATCACAAAAAAACAAAAAAACACAAAAATTTATAAAATGTAAATGATTGAAACCTACTTAGGGGTGGCATTAGCACATAATAGGGGTGCCATTAGCCACCCCCTAGATAATATGTAAAACAGAGAAAAAAAGGGTTTTATTCTTTATTATGTTCCAACAGTTTATCTGCATTTTTCTTCGGTGTTTGGGATTGCTTATATGAAATACTTATATTTTTCTATAAAAACATTTATCAATTTATTATAAGCCAGAAAGGTTTAATTTGTTCAAAAACTTCTTATTACCGGTTTGGCATCGATATAAGCTGTTTATCCAAACACTCAAAAGTGCTTATTACCAGTGTCACATCAAAATAAGTCAATAAATTGTTTTTATAAGCAATCTCAAACACCCCCACAGAGAAACCTCTAAGCTTAAACAATTTTCTAAAACCTAATGGGTGAAGTGAGATTTTAGTTTTTTATTTAAGGGGTGTTTGTGATTGCTTATAAAAACAACTTATTGATTGATTTTGATGTGCTACCGATTTTAAGCAATTTTAAGTGTTTGGATAAACAATTTATACCAGTGCCAATTCGGTAATAAGAAGTTTTTGAAGAAGTTAAACATTCTAACTTATAATAAGTTGATAAACACTTTTGTAAAAAAACATATTTCAAATAAGCACTCTCAAACACCCCTTTTTTCTTATCGATGAGGTTGAATAATTATTTATTGCATATAAGTTCTTTTTAAAAGGTGTATCAGGATGATAAATTTATAAAATGGTTTAATAATATAATTGATGTTGAAATCTTTAAAATAAAAAATTTATTGGAGTTAAATATAATTTTTTTTAGAGATTTTGACTTTTAATTCTATATTTTAAATAAATTATAGAAAATCTGTTAAAAATACTCTTAATAATATGTTTCAGATCTTATATTGATAAAAGAGTTGAAATCTAAAAAGAATAAGTTGTATGGTATTTATAAAAGAAATGAAATGAATTTAATTAAGTATATTTATGTGTATAATAATGCGAATAGGAACTGATTTTTTTCCAGATAAATTAAAGTATGTCTATTTGGTTAGTAAAATACAATTTTTTAATTAAAATAAAATGATGCTAAATAATTGAAATTATATTTCTATTATATTTTGTAATTTATTGTTTAAATTATAAATGTAAATAAAATATATCATTTAGTGTGTAAAATAATACCAATTACTATTAGTTAAATTAAATATAAAACACACAATTATGTACAACACAAATAAAACTATAAACCAAATTTTGTTACTAATAACTAAATTGTTCATATACGTGGATAACCAGCATTGGTCATATGTACACATGGGTTTAAATAACTTGTTATGACTTCGTCACTATCGTAACCTTTATGGCTCCACTTTAAGACTTGACTTCCATTGTAACGCGTTACGACACGTTATTTTGTAAGGCATGAGTTTTCTTTTTTACTTTTTCTAAACATATAACTCGGGGATAGATGATAATTATACGACACTCAATGATTAAATAAACATTAAAAGGAAACATAAAAACTAAAATCTTAAATAGGTAAATCCATACACGGTCAGTCGAACATGAATTGGTTAAAGATTGAAGAAAGTAGTTAGTAGAAACTCATAAGAATGAATCCCGATTATGTACTTTTGATAAATCATTTTCTGATAAGCTCGATATATTTAATTGCTTTTTCTTTCCTATTTAGATTTACTATGAAAACTGGAACAAGGAAGACAACAAAAATGAAACCGAAAACCCAATACGCTCATCAGTCATCAGTGGATATTGTCTTATATATGCACAAGTCCCGCAAACAAAACCTGCAATTTTTGGATGTACCCATTTAGTTTTTATACCTTCATATGAATTTAAATTGTTCTAATGGATCATTCAAAATACTAACACACACAATAAAAGATATATATATATACACACACACACACACGTCGCCTTAGGACACCAAGAAAAACGTCATAACCTCATAGTAACTCGTAAGGTTTGACCTCGCCGCTCCATCATGCCTCACGCCATCTAAAACCTTGTATATGTATATAACCCAAATTAAGCATGTGCTTGTTTGTTATTAAACTAAGGCCGGCCATTTCTTATTCATGGACGGTACAAATTGGTTATTGCAAAATTCACATTGGACCCAAAATCACTGGTTCGTTATCTCATTGGACCCAAATCTTCACATGTTCTTGACATCAATTGCCTTTGGTTTCTACTTCCTTTCCAAGCTATCTATTGGGGTTTGACTTTGAAAAGCGGAATTGATGTGTTCAGGATTGTTAGATTTATGTTTTAAAAACAATACATATTGTGATCTAAAGGATATGGATTATATATTTTCAATCCCTTGCCTACAAATCCAACTAACTATATCCCAATCACAGGCAGGATTTGGAAGTGTTCGGATGTATGCAAACATGTCATAGACTCCAAAATGTCAAACGGTCGTCTCCATGAAGACCCTCAACTTGCAAAAAGCATGTGAAAAAGCTTTGACAAGTGGAAACCAACAAACCGTGTTCACTAGTGAAGGATGGTGACAATAGGCTCACCATCATACCGACCTCACAATCCGGTTCTTGATTTGAAGATGAAAATAAGTAACAACAAGGGTGGTGTCTGATTGGTTTGAGTTTGGCTCCAAAGTTCAAAAGTACCAGAAGGTCTCAGGTTCAAATCCAAGGAAGAATAAAAATCCCCTTGTGGCCACGGAGGTTCAAATGCGGTGACTCCGGGCCATCTGCAAAGCAGGTGGTCGCCCTGGGATTAGTCAGATCACATAGCGGGTTGGATATCCAAGTTAATCAAAAAAATGAGAATAAGCCTTGGAGAAATCAAGAAACGACTTGCGGCCTCTTTGGAGGGTCATGTACTCCCATGACTCATCATTGGTTTTTATACCACTATCACCAATTACAATCTCTACACACCTTACAGAAAAACATAGAAAAAAGACTTCGGGGCTATTTGACAGTTGTTGAATAGTTTGATACAGAATGATATAGTGATTAGAATGATTAAGTGGCTCTAATGATATAACGCAAAGTAAAATATGGTTTGGTGTGTTTATGATGAAATTAGGGCACTGAATGGTTCAGGGAGGCCCAAGATACAAAATCATTCAGAGGGTTTTAGAACCATCAAGAGGCAGAATTTTTTTTGTCAAACAAGATTTACCTCTTAGCAATTCAGAGACCGCCTCTTAATGGAACTATTAAGAGGTAAATAAACAACCCCTTCCTCGAATATACTCAACTCAAACCACTGATCAACTGCAATAATTGGTCGACTTGAAACAACCTCGATTAAAAGGTCAGTTTGTTCAGCCTTACTTGAGAGTTGAATTTGATTAGAGAAGACTGAAGATCCAAAATTGACCGCTTTCATTTCCTATCCTTTCCATTTCCCTTTCCATCTTGGTCCCCGTTAAAACCTTCACAAAAGAGACAAAGAAATGTGTGTTAATATAAAGCTGCATTAGCCAGACAGAAGCACTCGATCTTGAGCTAAACAAACAGATCGATAGCATTGTACTCCCTCCTTTCCAGAAAAGTGTGTGTGTATGTGTGTGTGTGTCCAAATGAGTCAGCTTTTAAGATCTAGAAACAACATTTTGTTGTTAGTCGGTTCAATTATCTTCCAGATATAGCAATTACTGGTTCTTCTATCATCTATAACATGATCTTAATGGCTTAACCAACTCAAGAGAGAAGGAACTTAACAGCCAGAAACAAGATGATGCTACTACAAACATCAAAAGGAGTTCCAATTGTAGCTGACCTCTTTGATTCCGCAATTAAGTGCGGAGCTAATCAAATTAAATGGAATCTACTAGAAGTCTCCAGTAACTTCTGATGATATTGAATCGGATTTCTGCCTACTGACATTACTACAAATAGAACAATTATGATCCACTGTTAACATTTGAGAATATAACTTTTAGAATAAACAAAACGAATCAACAAACATCACGAATGGTACAAATATCGAACTTACTTCCTAGTTTCAACAATTACTTGATCCTCCCGGCAGCGTTCTGGATTCCATCTTGTGATCGTTCGCTCTTCAACACTATAACCATCTAAATAAGAAGGTGAAGCAATGGCGTTCTCGCAGGTTTTGTTTACATGAAGAATCAACAATGTCTTTGCGACACTGCCACAAAGTCGAAGTGTGCATTGAAAATCAGACCAAACTCTCAACCGATCGTTACCATTCCCTTCAGAAAACACCATCACGCCATATTCAGAGTGCACCAATGAAGGATGATGACAATAGGCAACAAAGTCGACACCATACTGACACCCGGACCTCACAACCCAATTCTTGATTCGTAGATGAGAATAAGCCTTGAAGAAAGTTGGGAAAGATGGCTTCTTGGAAATCATGTACTCCCATAACTGATCTTTGGTTTTTACACTATTATCACCACCTACAATATTTATACACCTTAGAGAAAAACATAGATAAAAGGCTTCCTCAAAAGTCAATTGAAACCACTGCTTATCCTTATCGACTGTGATAATTGGTCGACCAAAACAGGTTTGATTTAAAAGATCAGTTTGTTCGGCATTGCTTGCAAGAACTACACTACAGCCTGAGAGCATCCCATGAGAATTGGATTCAATTAGAGAAGCTTGTAGATCTAAAATTGACCTTGAAATCGGGACTGCAAGAGCTTTTGCTTCCGACCCTTTCCCTTTCCATCTTGGTCCCATTAAAACCTTCTCAAAGTATATGAAACGAGGGGGTGTTAGTATGAAGTTGTGTTAGGCAGAAACACTTGATCTTGAGTAAGTATGAGAAATGATGAAGAAATGAGACATAGAAACCAATTAGCATAACAATTAATGTTCTTACCTACATTGTTTGGGTGCTTATCTATACTATCTCCATTAACTCATGCATCTCTTCTTTTGCTCTCAGTATCGTCTTCCTCATTTGACCTTGTGAATTGAGACTTTTGAAAAGAATTTGATAATTACATATGGGAAGTGTTTATTTTTACCAAAATCAAGTTCCATCCCATCTATATGTGAATCTGAAGGTGTAATTTGATATTTCCTTTAGTGGTAATTCAATTTTTTATGTTTTCTGGGTGAAACTTCAAATTTAGTAGTAGCTCAGTTTCAAGATTGGAGATGCATAACCTTTGTTGGTTTCTCAATTAACTGTTCTCTTTGTATTTCTTAAGCAATCAATCAACGCTTCAGAAGGTTCAGGGCTGGTACCATATCTTCGAACTGAGCAAGGTAGATGTTCCACAAGTGAGGACTAATACATTAAACCTCTTAAAAATTGAAAAGGGATGCACTTTGGGATTTGCTTATTTGGTTTGTTTTCTCTTTAAAGTAATAAATGTCTATATATCCTTAGAAAAAACCCAATGTTCTAAAAAACGCGTCTTGGTGCCGCCATGGTGCAGCCTTGCCGCCACGTTAACCCCCTTGGCGTGGACATAAGGCGTGGAGCTCGTTATGGCGTGCGAGGAAATTTGCAATTTTTACCATGGAGCGTTATGGCGTGGGAAGAAATTTGCAATTTTAAAACTTGAATAGGAGTAAATGTAAATATAACTTTATAGTTTTTACGGACCAAATACTTAATCAAGAAAATGGGGAAAAAGAATAAACCCTAAATTACTTCTCAACATATGAAAAATATTGCTCGATTACTTTCATTTGTAGTTCTTTGATTTCATTACTTTGATATTGTTGTTAGATTACCAAACAGGGACTATAAACAGTGATGGTGCCCAAGGTCAACACCGGCCCACTCTGAACTTCTTAAATTTTTTTCATATGGTTCCATTTCTAAGGCCAAATAGTGAAATACATCAGGCACTCAACCCTCCTGTGAATATGCGATCGTTTGTCCAATTGTGTGTTCGAAGACGTCGTCCTCCAGACCCCAAAACAGAACCTTCGCAGGCTGTGTGCATTGTAGGACTCAAGAGTTTAGAAATCCTCGCTCTCGGTAAGTTAATTTTTCAGGGTTCAATCATTTTTAATTTTAGGGTTTTATGTTGATCATTGAAATCCTCACCTCCTAGTAACTAATATTGATTATTGAATAGTTATGTTATGTTGAGGTTTCCAAATTGTTGGATATTTGTTTGAAAGTGTTGAGCTTATCATATTGATTGTTCATTCGTTTGAGCCAACTAACAATGATAAGTCAGGATTTTTGTTTTATTTGAGAGGTCCCTAAGAAATAATCATCATTCTACCCCTGGGTGTTAGAGGAAGTTTGGGTAGATTCATATTACATGGCACGTAGGATCACTCAACCACTTTGTAGTTAAAAATCAGCTCACTCAAGATGTTGTTGCTAAACTAAGTCGGGCCATTTCCTGTTCCCAAAAACAATATGTTATTAACAAAAGACATCCCCACAATATGAAGCCGTAAAATGATGCAGAAAAAATAACAAAATCGAAGCAGTCGTAAAAATGAACTCGGGTATTCTTTAACTAAGCACAAATAATTCATCTATTGTCAGTCAAAAACTTGTTTGATTTTCAATTTTCCCCTACAGAATCCAATTGACATAGACAAGACAGAGGTTGCATCTGCTAAATACTCGGGTACTGTTTGATAGTTTCAGAAATTGGAAGCAGAAATCATAAGCAGAAACTGGAAGCAGAAATCATAAGCAAAAATCGAAGTATAAATCGTAAGCAGAAATTGTAAGTACAAATCGGAACAGAATATGCAAAAATCGAAGTATAAATCGTAAGCAGAAATTGTNCAGAAATTGTAAGTACAAATCGGAACAGAATATGCAAAAATCGAAGTATAAATCGTAAGCAGAAATTGTAAGTACAAATCGGAACAGAATATGCAGAAATCGAAGTACAAATCGGAACAGAAATCGTATTGTGAAGTCGTAACAGAAATCGAAGTAAGTAGAAATCGGAAACAGTAAATCCTACTTGTCTTCGATAAGCAGAAATCGAACTAGAAATCGGAACAAAAATGGTATGCAGAAATCGAGGTAAGTAGAAATCTGATTCAGAAATCGTACCTGTCTTCGATCGATGATGAAGATGAAAGTTGTTTAAGATGAGAAGAACCCGGTGGTTCGATAGATAGAAGCAGTCGATGAGAATGAAAAAAAGGTTCGGCTGGGTTATTAAGACGAGAGAAACCTCTCAAGGGGGTATTTTTTTCATTTATAGAAGGGAGTGCTAATGGCACCCATTAACAGGGAGGGGTTGATTTTTTTTGGAAATTGAGCGATGATTTTTTTATAAACATCAACTCAATAATTATATATTGATATTTTATTTATTTTATTTTATTTTATATATTTATATTAAAATATATATATTATTTTATTATTTTTATGTTACTTTATTATTTTATATTTTTGATTTT